TTTTGTAGGGAAAGTGATAGATTACATGGCACAGCATGAAGTTATAAAAGGAGGTTGCAGTCAGCACTGCTGGCATTAATTTAACTAGAGAATGTGCCCTTAAATGTCAGGAGACTGCAAGAAGCACTGAGTTATTTGAGAAGACAGCCACTTTGATGTTGATGTTATCAAGTAGAATGTAGAAGATTAAGAGCAGCTTACCAATTTTGCCATTTTTTTCATACTGATAACATGGCAAGGGCTTTAGCAGGTGCTCTGGGAAGGTTAATTGTTACGATAAAAGAACTTGAACTAATTGGCTTGTATAGGTGACTCACCATTGTAGCTAAACTCAGCAGCTGATAAACTAAACAGCTAATTTGCTGTGAAGAAACTGCAGTTCTAGATACAATTTCTCTTTGTACTAGCAGATAAAACAAGACCATACAATCTGGGTTATAAAAACAATACAAGCTGTAATTATCTTTATGCTATCACAAAATGTAGGAATGGCCATTCTTGATCAAACTAAGGGCTTCTCTGTCTTCAGCAGGACATCTGGTGAATGCACAGGGAAAAGCATGCAGAAACGTGGCAGTGGGATGATCCTTCCCCTCATGTGTTATCCCTGCTTCTGTCAGCTGAGTCGTTCTGAGGCTTTCTGCGCCAGACGTTGCATTAAGGCAGAGTTTAATGCCTCTGATGAGTCTGTCATCCATGAATTTGTCTAATCCCTTTTTGAACCTGTTTATGTGTTTGCTCCCAGATCATCCCCTAGCAATGGGTTTTGCATTTTACTTTTGCATTGTACAAAAATATACTTCACTTGCTCATTTAAAATCCACAGCTTCATTGCTTTATTGGATACCCCCTACTTGTTCAATTAAAACAACACAGACTGCTTTTATTTCTTATTTTCTTCACACTATTTGTGATTTTATAAGTCTGTCATCTCTTCTCCCAGTCTCTTTTCCAGGCTGAGAAGGCCACTTACTTCCATGCACCAAAAGTATTCCCAAACTTTCATAATTCACCTCATCTTCTCCATCCTCTTCCTAGATCTGTTAAATCAATCTGTGTTCTGTATCCCCTTGTAGCCTCCTTTTGCATCTGCTACCTTAATGGGGAGGAAGCAGATTCAGAGAGTTCAGTGCTGGGGGAGCATTTTTGGGCCACCTACCCACTCAGGTCATGGCATCCCCCAGGTTTTCATTGGAGCTGGAATGCTATATTTCTTTGTGTTTCTGTACAGTAAAGGACCGTACGTAATGCTGAGAGGTAAGGGAGGGTAAGCTAGGCTGTGCTTCCCAGTGGCACTTGCTGTACCAACACCCCATTAATCTGTCACTGGATAAACTGCATTTGCTGTCCTCAGAGCTGTGACCAGGACTCTGGTTTCTTTCTCCAGGCATAGGGCTGTAAACACACACAAACAGACATGCACATGCATCCTGTCATTTAATGAAGGACACACACAGGCTGCAAACATTAGTTGCAGAGGTTCAGTATCTTCATTCTAAGGTTGATAATTGTCTCCACAAATTGGGACGTATTACTGCTGTGCTTGGTGACAGTGTTTTGTTTGTCTGTTTTTCCTTTGTATGCAGATTCAGAATAAGTCAGCAGTTGTGTGTGTAGGTGGGCAAAGTCTAGGTCAATAAAGAAAGACTTTGGGAAATTATGGCCTTGATCTGGTAAATCTCAGAGATCTTGATTAATTAACTTCATTAATTGACAAGCTCTGATGAACTGAAAGGGCTAAAAGCAGCCGGCGAATGACAAAACATATAGATAAGTGATAACATAATGCTCATTATTTCTAATTCAGTCTCTCAAGCTCAAAATCAGTGGAATGTGGTGTTGTTTGTATTTGTATCGATTCTTGCTTGTGATGTAGTAGAACAAAGAGATCCCATTGTGGTGCTGTAAAAATGCATCATTACTACATTTAAAACTAAAAACTCCATTTTAAAGAAGCTTTAAGAACTCTTAATTAACCATTTAATAAATTTACTGTATTTTTAGAGCATCTGCAAAGTCAGTAGGTTATTATTAGACATAGTATCTCCCAACTTCATCCACATTTATAAAATGCTGTAATAGTGAAACCTAATTTTTTAAGCTTCGCAAATGAATTTATCTAAACAAAGTCAGCTATATACAGATATTAATTTGAGTTAATGTTGCTGTGATTGATCAGTATGTTTACTTGTGGCAGTCACTTGACCTTATGGCAGGGAACAGAGACTTTTGATACTGTCCACGTAAGTGTTAGAAGAAAGCCTGTGTTGAGAGGGAACTTAGAGTCCAGTATCAAGAGAGTAAGCACTGGTTATTTTCCACTGTTGCTGTTCCTGAAATTGTACACATTACAAGAATGACTTGGGGTTTTTTTCCTCTCTTTTCCTATGCTTATGTACCTGTAATTTATGTATTTACTTTAGTTCAAATCTCTGTTTTCATTTTCAGAGGCTAACAGAATTAACAATGACTATATTGATAATCTCAGGGCTATTTTTAGATGTGGAATCTCTTTAAGAGTCTGCTCTGTTTAATATTACAAGCATCATATGAAAGTACAGTAAAATGATACTAAGAAAATACAATAAAGTGAGATCTTCTGCGGATCTTTTGTTTATGCACTTGAGAGTTGTGTGCAGACACTGATACAACATGATACCCATTAGATTTATTTGTTGCAAGAGTGCTATCTCTGTAATAAAATGACAAACTTGAGATAAAAATGATACTGTGCCATCTACTTCATTGGTCTCTCTGTATTTTTATTTATCTAGTTTTACTGTTACAAAACTTACTAGGAGCTGAGAAATGCAAACAACATATAACATATATAATGCAATGATTTTCTTTCCAGCTTGCAACTGTCATGTTGAATTCCATTGTTTACTACTGTTGTCAGTACAGCCTGAATCCTTTTGCCACTTACGTTCTTCCTGTTTGCCTTTTGGTTTTGTTCACTATATTATTGCTTGATAGCATGAACAGCAGTATTCCAGAGGCTCATTACCACAACAGTTAACTATGCATGGTATTTCTAAGATCTGCTAATGTTCCATTGCAGTGATGCTTGCAAAAATTGTGTTATTTCTTTGTTATTTTTTTTTAACCTTTGTGTGCCTATGTCTTACAACTGATGATAATATTCTGCTGAGACATTCTTATGTTTTTGTTAGGGATTTGCTCTTTTCCTGTATTTCATTAGTTGTTCTCACTCTTCAGATAGAATTTTGCATCTTCATCCAAAGAAGTTGATATGTAGTCACTGTAAAAGCAGCAGAATGATGGAAAAAAAGAATGTAATATTCACCTTCATAATGCTGAATTACAATGTTTAAGTATACTGTGTAGTGATTTTGTGTGCGGATAACTAAACTATCTATATCCATACAGGTATGAAATGAAGGAGGAACACTGTTAATATATCCCTTCTGCATATAGTTTGACTGTTAACAGATTATTCATTCTTATATGTTCTATTTGATTAGTATTAAGAGTGTTATCCTTTAGCATCCATGAGCGTGGTGTTATTTGGGGATATAATACGAGTATTTTCTTCTCAAGGCCCTCGGGTCTCCTCGACCACTACTCTTCTGCTGCAATGGATGTCATACATTGGTTATGAAGGTCTTTCACCTTGAAAGTTTGGATGGTTTAAAAATATTCTGCACTTGTAAAATAACATCAGTAGTTCATGGTAGTAGGTGCTTGGACTAATAGAATATTTTTCAGAAATGAATTGCCAAAAGGGCAATGAGTGATGGTGCAGGTCCATTCCTCCGCTGAACAGACTCCAAAGAATCTAACTTGTGAGCCTCTCCATCAAGCCCATAGCTTCAATTTGTCTAATACCATTGCATTCCAGAAGTTATCCTGTCTTGCTGAAAAAACTTTAAAGAATGTACTCTACACACAAGGTAGATGCCGCAAAGGTTATTTGCTTTCATAATTGCATGTTTGCATTTACTCACCATCTTCATTTGATAAGTTTCAGCTTCCAACAAAACCTTGAATCTTCTGATTTTCTAAACCTCACTATTAAGTACATTTTCTCCATTGCAGGCTGAAGCAAAATATTTTCTTTGCTGTTTCTTGGTTAAACTAAATCAACTAAGCTTCTTGAGCCTCTGATGAACTACATTTTTTGGGGCTCAGCGCACTAGTATAACCATTTTCTGAACCTCATCCAATTTGAGTTGCAGATGAGAACTAGACATTGGATACTATTGTAGTGAGTGTCTTGCTGATGCTGTGAACAGGAATAAGAAATTTTTTTTACATGTTTGTAAAAGACAGTGTTAAAAGCCATGCTAGCAGCAAGTGGTGAGTTGTGTCATTTCTGAATCTGTCTTCTAACCTGAGGTTGACCTAATTCTGCTGAATTCCCATGGTCTGTGTAAGTGTGTATCCTCTAGGTACAGTAGCTGTTCTTACACTATGTAGTACAAAAACATACCAGGGCTATCAGCTGTCTTGCCTAGGGGCACAAGATGATGCCAGGTGGAGTGAAGAGGAAATATTTCCTTCCTGTGAGGCATTACGTAATTGTTTAAGTATATTAGGTGCTTTGGATTTTTCCCAAACATATTGTCTGATATTTATTATGTAAGTCATTGTCATAGGAGGATGGCAGACTGAAAAAGCATTCTGGTTTCTGTGTTTTGCCAGTTCCTTTTTATTTTGTTTTTAATGCTGTCCACAATAAAATGAGATTCAATGTATGCTTCACCTTGTTGGCATTGTAACACATTGCTTTTAACACGTCCTGCCAACTTTGTGATACAGATCTGACTGCAGCTGAGGAATACTGGTAATCCTCTCATCTCCTTGTCGGGAACTAAAGTTGAACCAAATTAAATGTTTTGTGTTCCAGTGTTTTCTTTTAGAACTGGACATACTAAGAAAGCAAAATTGCTGGCTGCCAGGATCTTACTAGAGTGATACTGATTTTCAACATTTATGAGGTGCCAATAAAACAGAAGTTGTTCTTTTTCATCTTGCAGCTTGCTCTTCACCAAAGTGAAGCTGGAATGGATTCATAAAGGACCTGAGGAGGCTCTGGTGACATGCAGACGTATGTTGCAGATGTGGCAGATGGCTTATAGTGTTTTACAGCACAGGTAGGCTTTCTCCACTGTCCAACTGTTCAGATTTCACAATGGGGATGTAGCTATCTTCTTTAATTGTCCAAGTACTTAAATTACTTTGTGAAAGGGATAATAAGTAATAATAATATTCAAACAAACAACAGAAGTAGATTTTTAGCCACGATTTAAAAAAAAAAAAAAAAAACAACAAAAAAAAAAGAATTTGAATAGTGCTGAAAGAGGTCATAGTTATGTTCTCTTTCTGTCATCTGCTTCCCCTCCAGAAAAGATAAGACTTTAGAAAGTGTGAAGGTTGACAGCTTGAATTTTCTTCCTTCTCTCTTCCCTTGGTTATTTTCACAGTCGTCATACCAATGTACAGCCCTTCCCCCCTTGGAAATATCCCAACACTATACTTACCTCTCACTTGTAATGTTTGTAGAGGTTGTGTCTGATGGAAAATACAACATGCTTGCCAGCAATGGTCATGGCACCCAGTTGATAAAGAAGTTTTATTGTTCCCCTGTTTGTGAGTACATTTACACGGGCTTTATAAGCACCAGAATGGTGGTACAGAATGATGCATGTCTAGGTACAAGCTGTCCTTAAAGGATTCTTAGTAATTCCGTGTTGGTTTAGCTAATGAGCAGCAGACCACACACTACATATATTTACACAGCACTAGAAATAGTCTCTTACATGCTGGAATCATTGATTTCCATAGCCTTAGTGTCTTTAGCTGATGATTCAATCTTGTATTTTTCACATGAATAATCTTTACACTCATGAGTCGTCCTCGTGAAGGTGATCAAATCCACACTGAACACGTAGAACTGGATGTGACTTACTGTTGCAAGCTGGGGGGTTGCAATCTTGAGACTGAAGGGACTGAGTTGGAGAACAGACAAATACTTCAAGCATTTGGATCTCAAGCTGTGCTTTGGCTGTTATGTTTAAAAGACCAAGATGTGACAGCTTTAGGGGCTTTTGATAAGCTTTAGCCATAGAAGCCTAAACAAAACAAATTGCTCTGCTTTTGCTTTTAGGACCTCTAATGTGTATTTCATTGCTATTCCCAGTAGTAATTTTTGGCTTTCTCAAAAAAATGCTTCAGAAAGCATCTTGCATTAGGAAATAGTGCTTGAAAAGTAGCAGAAATTAACTTGGTACCTGCAGTTTTTGACTGGATTTAGTGCTGCAGGAAGTACCTTTTTTAATGCAAATTGCAGCACTATCAGCTAACAAATATTTAAAATATTCTGGGTTGGGCTTTCAAAGGAACTGTAGGGCAATTCTTATCAGTGGGACTTAGAGGCAGCCATTTGTTAGGGCCTCTTGGAAAAGAAAAGCCTGTTTTTATATGAGGTTGAGAGCTGTTACACTCCAAACTCTTTACTAGTTCAATCAGTAGCTAATCACCCACAGTTAAATTGCACTTCAGTTGCATTTGGTTGTATTGTTTGGCCCTGGTTTCTTAGCTGCACAATCTTACTGTAGCTTTGTCAGTCTACAGAGTCTTCTAGGGCCCAGTACTTTCTCCCTACTTTCTCCCCTGGCAGGTATTTATGTACCATGCTAAGTGCCTGTCCTTTCTGTAGTAATCTAATGCCTAAATCAGCGTTCGGCCATGTGCCTAAACACTGACCTCACGGTGACTGCTGCATCAAAGCACCATGTTAGTAATATTATAAAGCAAAGCTGGCAGGTTTGCACATACCTCTGCTGTTCCACCAGCATCCTCCAGCCAAGGCAGTGACACTTGTGTCAGTGATGGCTGAGCAAGACAGAGGTGCAGGACTAAGCATTGAATTCTCCCTTCTATCTTTCACCACATAATAATTTCAAATGGGACATCAGTCTGGAAACCAGTATGTAAAACGGGGAGGCCTAGTCAAGGCCAGACTTAGATGAGCAGTCAGTCGCCGAGAATTCATGGTCCACTAACAAAAACTGTAATGTTTGATCCCTAAGCCTAGTAAGAGGTTAATTAGCTATTATAAATGCGATTAACAGTATGACAAATGACAGTAAGTGGCTTTCAGTCCTAGACTGTTTGTTGGCAAGGGCAAGATTTGGTTTATCTTCTGCTGTTGTTTTTTGTGATTACAGCACAATCATATTTAAAACCAAATCCCAATCCCAAGGTAATTCTTCTGCTGGATTAATACAAATTCAAGGGAATCCTATGCAGTCTGTACCATAGGACTAATTAAACTGGAAGACTGGGCATGCACAGCAATCACGATTCTGTGACAGCTCCTTTCCTGGAAGGAATATTATCCAAAAGCTGAGCTGCAGGGCTTGGAAGTGTGCCAGTAAAAATAGCCAGGGCGGTCACTTTTCCTTTTGATATTTTGTCTCTTAATGGATGGTGAGAGGAGATATCATCACCATCCGTCTGGTCCTAGAGAGGTTGGCAGTCCTTTGGTGACAGGAAGATTCAGGAGATCAACACTAAGTGATTATCATTAGATACAGGGTTATTATTATTTTGGAGTTCCTCTTTTGAAGAGCTGCCGTGTAAGAACAGAAGTCTAGAAGAGAAGCAGACCAAATAGGCTTCCCTTCATAAAGTGGTACTATGTGGTAGCTTTTATCTTCTTTCTCTGTTGAAATAGAACAAAAGTGAGAGAGGAGATAATCTTCTTGAAATAAAGGAGTTTAGAAAGTGGTTGGTCTGTTTCAAAAGGATTAGAGCAGCACACTCACAAATCCACCTTCTACAGAAAATCCCAAGGGGCAGTGGTTCTTCTGTATGCGGGACATTGGTAGTTGGCCTTCTCTTATTTGGTTTTTTAGCTGGCAACGTGTTGCCCATCCAGTAGTTGGCAAAGATTGCAGCAGTCAAATAAACTGAAAGCAGCACACAAACTGGAGCCCTTGCTGGTCGTGGTTTTTCAGTGACCGAATTTCTCATCCATTGCTGGGTAGGTGGTGTTAGAATGAGACATTCAAGAAACACCTGAAGTTTTCAGTGCCAGAAGACAGTTAGATGAGATTATTGCCTGCTTCGAGGAGAACATTGTCTCCCTGCTGAAAGGTGGCCAGATAACAGTTTTGTTTCTTTACAGTGGCTCTGAGAAAGGAAGTAGTGTGACCGAAACGCCAGTGATCAAAAAGCATAACGGACTTCATCTCACGCTCCCGGATGCTCATGATAATGATTCTGGTGAGGAAATGATCTGTGCTTTCTCATCTTAAATACATCAGCTTTCTACGCATGTGCATGTAGAGAAACACTTAGGGGGGGAAAATTCTTACTTTTAAAAACATTATATTTTGAGTGAGTCTCATGCTTTCAGGTTAGGGAATTAGTGATTGTCTGAGAACTGGTAAAACTGATGTCATGTCCTCAGTGCATACAGCTGAAGAGGATGACAAATTCTCATTCCGTATGTGGCTTTTATTAAATCAAACGTGTTCAAACATGTGGAAGAACTTCTTTACATAATAGTGATTGGAGCACTGGAACAGGTTGCCCAGGGAGATTGTGGAGTCTCCATCTCTGGAGATATTAGAGACCCATCTGGACATCTACCCATGCAACCTACTGTAGGGTACCTGCTTTAGCAGGGGAGTTGGACTCAGTGATCTCTTGAGGTCTCTTCCATCGCCTGCCATTCTGTAGTTCTGTGTGTTTAACCCCCGTTTATATTCATCAGTGGTTTAAAAAGCATTACAAGGGTAAGTCTTGAGCCTGCAAACACTCAAGCATCAAAACATTAGTCAGTGTGTCTGCTCTTTTGTTCACAGTGTCGAGCCCTGAGGGTTTGTATTTATGACATTGTAATCTTCCTGGTTCTATACGCATATATTTATGTAATTCTTAATCTGTTTATTTCTTTTCCCTTGTAATATCCTTTGCTGCAATATGTTTCTATATTTTGTGTAAGTCTGTTTTCTCATTGTATGTGTGAATCACTTTTTTGTAGTTCTTTAGATTACTGAAAGAGAAAAGACCAAATTCAACACAGATGGATGAAGAGAGTTTACCTAATGAATAAAGAATGAATAAGTGCTGCTTGGCATATTAAAAGTGATGGAAAAGGGAGCAAATGTGAATGTTTTCTGGTGGTTGGTGCAAAATCATTTGAGACTGTAATCACTTGAAGGTCACTGTGAAGATTTACAGAAGCATCCCTTATGATCCCTGATGCTGGGCAGACAAATCAGCCTTCACTCCCTGGGTTATCTCCTCCACAGTACTGTCCTGGAGGCAGCAGCTGGGCACATGTCCCAGTTGGGGGCCCTTTTGGAGGAAGCAGGAGGTGAGGCAGCGGAGCGCTGCTCCAGCCGCGCTCTCCCCTCGTGCCTCCCAGTGCTGCAGCAGAAGGGAGGGAGGAGGCCTGGTGCTGGCAGCCTGCAGCAGGCTCCAGTTTCCGGCATGCAGCCTCCAGGGAGCGTGCGGCAGTATCGCTACGATGCACAGTGCTCTGTGATCCCCCGTGACCGAAGGGTGATTACTGCAGCTGGGTCTGACACCGGCCTCCCCCTCCTCGGTTAGGTCACAATGAGATTATTTGCTGTGCTAGAATTTTAGGTTTCCTGCCAGGAAGATTAATTCCTCTTTATTTTCTTCATCTTCCCCTAACTGAAGCAGCATTCCTAACTAAATTCACTGGTATCAGTCAGCTGTCTTGCTATTTCATTCTTTTTGTGATTTAGTCTTATCTAATAATGTTCTTGCCTCAAGTGATTTAGGCTGGGGAATTCTACATTTCTTATAAGCCCAGTAAATCTATGGAGGTGCATTCCTATTCTCATAGTAGTTTTTCCATAAATGTAAAATATTTAACTTAGTCCTTCTTGGTCTTATAACAGTGCTGCAGCAAAATTATTTAGGTATGTTTTTGCAGGGTTTCTATGTGGAGCTCATCATGATGAAATATTTTTTTTAATCATTTCTTTCAAAAAATGTGTAGAGGGCTTTGTTGTAAAACGCAAAGTTTATATTCTGTCTGGTGGAGCTGTTAAAAAGAGAAAGAAAATGCACTAAAATAACAAATTGAGGTGCTGTCTTCTTATGCCAACATTTGCATGTATTTTCAGGCTTGACATTTAAGTTCTGTGAGACAGGTTTTGTGGGCTTTTTTTAGCCTATAAAGTTCTACATTCCTTTAGGAATAGGCATTCTGTGTGAGAGCTATCATTGCTTCTGGCTCTGGCAGCATTCCTTGGCCTGAGGTCACTGGTATATGCACCTGAGGGTCAGGTCTGTGGCTAGATGCCTTTTGTCTATAAAGGCCAAGCCAGCAAAGTCCTGCCCTTAAAGGGTTTATTGGAGCCTTCCTACAAGGGCTTGCGGAGGTGAGAAGAAATAGCAGTAGCAAACTGCTACTGTTTGGATTTGGGCTGGAATGGAGCCTTTCCATGTACGTGTGTGCTGAGAGCAAGGAACATATCTGTCTGAGACTGTGCAGGGCTGGGGACAGATCAGCTGATCACTGCCTGGTGTGGCTTGCTTCCTTGTTTAGGCTGGAATGGAAAAGAAATATCAAAGGACTGCAACATGAAAAGGAAGCCCAAGTTACTTAGCAATTTACAGCAGAGGCTCTTTGCATATAACTGCCAAAGGCAGTAAATTGCTAAGTAACTCGAGTTCCCTTTTTAAGGCTGCACAGGCTGAAGTACAGACAGCAGTGGACAAAGATCAGTGTCACACTGCAGGCTCTCTGCCTTCAGCAGCTACCTGCCTGGCTAAGAGGGAGAGGAGAAGCTAGCCTGTGCTTCTTCAAGTTCCTCATAGTGATGTTCTTTAAAGCCTTATTTGTGAGGAAAGGATGTTTCATTAAACCTGAAATGGCTGTTCAGCCCTGCAGCAACACATGAACCTGTCCAAAATGCAGAGTTCCCTCATAGTGACATCATCCCCATGCATTGACTTGCAAGGAAAAGAGGATTTCCCCAAGCGGATGTAAATAAGGCACAGCCCATCTGCCCACTCACTGCAGTCAGAACAGCGATAGGTATAGGTGCTGCACAGCTCCAGAAAGCCTCTCTGAAAGAGGACAGCCTTGGCAGAGGAATGTAATGCTGAATGTTGCTTTTAAAGCACACCACTCTGATCAGGAATGCTAATACAAGAATCTGCTTAGGCTGACTACCAAGTCCACGAAGCCCATGCAGTTTGAATTTGACCATGTGAGTCTGCCCTAAACAGCATCAATAATTGTTCACATGGCAATTTTCATGTTGCCTCTCTGCTGGGGATGAGTGCCTGTTTGTTTTCCCTGCATTAAACAACCTCATTCTGCCTGCGAGTTCCTGGGAGCCCTTTTGCAGTGAAATTTCTTCTAAATGGAGGGAGAGAGATGAGCAAGAGTGGACACGGCAGAGGGAGGAATTCCATACAGTGAAACAGGCAGAAGAAGATTGATCTGTTAAATAAACTGTTACAATAAATTCTCCATACAGTGTGGAATGACTTTTACGGTACTATTGTAGCCATAATTACTGCATTACTGCACTGTCATCTCTTGGAACATTAGGTCAGGAATGTCTTTGAAAATATGCAGGAATGTTAAAAATGCATTTAGGAGGAGCACATCTTCGTTTTGCAAGGGAGCTGTGGGAGGTGTCTGTGCTGAGCGCTGGGGAGCTGTTTTGAAGTTCTGCTGCTGGAAATGAATGACATTGGTTAGCAGTGAGATAACAGGACAAGCGTTTCCCCTGGCGGTTTGAGGCAATTGTGGTCTCTCCATAGAGAGTATGCTCTCAGAGGCTTTGGCTTGTATAAAAGCTGTGGGCAGTGTTCTGCCCAGTCTGCCCAGTCTTTGCAGAGGAGCATGGGGTGCACAGAGGCCTGCTGACACCATGGCCCCCATAGGTGATGCTCAGCTGTCAAGATGTGCTTTAGTTTCAGCCCTCTCCAGTTTTTCCAGCTGGAGAGGGCTGAAGCTGAAACATATCTTGACATCTGACCATCACCTATGGGGGGCCATGGTGTCAGCAGGCCTCTGTGCTGGATCTTTCTTCAAAAGACTGCTTAATGTATATATCCCATGACAGGCTTTTGCACTTCTTTCCCATGCTCAGAGCTACCACAGCTTCTCCAAATACCTGTTACTGTGCTCTTTCTGGAGGGCTGCTGTGAGAGAACATGGGATTTTAGCTCCAAGATCTTGTCATCTACCAGATCAGCCCAAGTGCTTTAGTCACAACAACTCTCTAGAGAAAGAGCTTATTAACCTTAAAATCACATTAAACCTATATATACTAAAATATTTAGTTCTCAAAACTTCACAAAGCCAGCTCTGGAGTCCCATTTCATAGCTCCATGCTTTGTGACTGTCCTCTTGGTAGTCCTGCGAAAGGGTGGCTCACCAGTAAACGACTGCATACCGTACTTGAGAATATGGTTTCTGTTTGTACCTTCTTTCTGGAATCACCTTTTGATGTGATGTTTTGTTCCCTGAGCTGTGGGTGTGAATCCTTTGTTCTTACATAAATGTTACAGCACATGCTAAAGGTTAATGTAGTCGAAGCACTGAACTCTCTGCTCCCTGAGGTTAAGTGAAAAACCACGCTGTCTCTAAACCAACAGGACAGTATTGATGTCACTTGAAATCTGTGTTCTTTGAATGCTGCTGACCTACTCTGTAGCTCTGTACTAGCATTTTACATTAGTGAGCCACGTTCTGCAGTTGTATAGTGATGGTATGCTTATAAAACAGGTTACTAATAAATATTCTTGAGAAATAATTTGATGATAGAATTCAACTATCCAAATGAGCAAAATACAGTTGCTACCTCAATGAAGCTGATAAGCAGACTTTTAGAAAATTACTGTCTCTTGATTCACTTGCTTGAGGTGCAGCCCATGGGTAATACAGTCTTTTCAATAAAATAGCCTTTTATAGGGCATATTTCTCCAGTTCAGAATTCAATGTAAGTCTTACGACACAAAATGGGCTTTCGAGAAGACAATCAGACCTGCCTAGCTAATGAGCCAAATATGCCGAAGTATAAAATACACTGCTGTTCTTGTTTGTTTGGTCCGTAGGATCACAGCGAGCCTCTTCCCTTGCTGCATCAAGAATGGAACAAGCCATATCTGAAATAACAATGCGGAGCAGCATGATGAAGCAAGGACCTATGCAGCTGTGGACAACTCTTGAACAAATCTGGCTACAAGCTGGTAAGTTTTGGCATTCATGGACAACCTGGAATTCCTTCACTTTTCAGTGGTGAATAAGATGACATGGGTATTAAAGGAATAGTTAAAATCAGGGCTGTTTCAACACCTTACACCAACAGTAAATTTGCCCATCTATCCCACTTGGTTTTTGAAATACTGCTTGGTTAAATGTTAACAAATAAAATGTTGGAGTAATGTGATTTTTCTGCTCACCTCTCTTTTTCCGTAACACAGAAAACTTCAAGTATAACTAAAATATGTTTCTAAATGAGGAGAGGAGGCAGTTCTTCATTAAGAAATGTCATTTGATAGTAGCAATTAGTTTCATTTTGCTGAACATGATTGGGCAAACAACCCATTAAATGTTATTTAGGCTGTCAGCATTCCAGTTTTTCCCGAGTTTTAAGTGAAAATTATTAAACAAGAAAAAGTCCTCCACTCATCTTATTCTTGGCTGCTTGAATCTCCCAAGGACTTGAAAGATTTGCACATCACTTTGAAACACATTGTAGCAAAGCTCAATATTCTCCTTTCCCTCCCTGAGAAGGAACTCTACCCAATGGTGACATCCAAACTCATGAAGGAGTTTTATACAGGGCCCTTGGTGAGGAGGAGAGTTGTACGGCACATTCTACCATTTGCATTTCAGGACTGGTAAAAGGAGTTCTGACCCTGCAGTCTTGCTTTTAAGAGACACAGTTTTTCTTCCACCATTGTGAGCCTGAAATAACGTGAAATAAAGTGCTGTGATTACTTCTTAGATGTCTCTGCTACCACATGCAACAAGAAAAAAAGCAGAGCACACCAGAACGTTGCTGATAATTTACTGTTACGTATGCAGAACTCGTCAAATTCTATCAATTATCTACAATTGACAATTTTCACATAAAACCTGGTAGTCTCACGCTATTTCTCAGCAAAGACTTTTATAGCTGTTTTTATGGGGCTGTTTTCTATCAAACCAGACCTCAATTCTGGTTCAAAATATGTGACATTCTGTTTGCTACAATCTGGCTAATGGTTATGAAAAAAAGAACTTACCTAATGGAGTGCGTCATCCTTTAAGTTAATCACGTGTTATTTGCTTAGGATTTCACTGCTGTACTATGGTCCTCAAAATCACTAGATCACTAGCAGAGTTTTCTTTTATTCCATTTATGCTTCTGACTTAAGGCTGAAGAGGAGGCTGGTGGGATTGGAAAAAAAAAAAAAAAAAGGAGTTTATTGTGGTGAGAAGTCAGGTGTCTGTTGTCCATCATCCTGTAGAGAGCTGGAGGCAGTTCTTATTTTTACTGCTGTGTGAAAAGACAAAAGTAATAAAGGCCTAGTGCTTGCTGTGACCTCGCTTTGAATTGCTACAATTACTTTTCAGCGTGCCTTCCTCGGAGATGTTAATTCTTTTAGGCAGAAATTATAAGTTGTAACTTTTCTGTCCTTTTGGCTTATTTTAAACTTTGTTTTTCTTCATGTTTAATTTAACTGGATTTGAAATAGGATCAATGTTTTGACAGTATATATTGTGACTGCTTTGAGATTTCATTACTGAGACCAGTTACTGTTACGGATGCATCTTTGTGGTCTTGGTGGGCTTAGTGACTCAAATTGCCCAAAAAAGCATCACTGGCCCTCTGTGTCAAAATCTCTCCCATCAGGAAGGAGAGGAAGACAGGAATAGTTACAAGGTAATAACTTCCAAAATAGAAATATTTTGTAAACAACAGCTAAGGTCATCACATGCTCTTGTGCTACAGCTCACCACAGAATTAACAGCTGTGGAAAGCAACAAGCAATTAGCATAACCTTCTGATGCCTGCATCTGGACTCACTTCATGTTTATGAAAGAGCCACATCAGTGTGCTGTAGATTTCTATCAGGTTTAGCTGGGACTTGTCCTTTTTCAGTCAATGACTCATCTTGTGACTCTAGGCAAGTTGCCTAGCTTTTTTATACCTCAGTTTCCTATCTGTAAATGGAGGGAAATGTTTGTTTGCCTTTGGGAAAAGACTTGCATGCTGCTGTTTTTACCATTATTAACACTTTAACCTTTCTAGTGCTAATCATAAATCTCCAGGTAAATCGTTACCCTCATACTACAGTAAATTAATAACAAAGCATCTATCTTTCTCAGATACAGGGAGGATGCAGCTGGTCATGTGTCTGTGTGCGGGTGTGGTGTGGATGCAGAGCACCAGGCTGTGAGCCTGTCAGTCTGGGTTCCATCAGAGCCATTCCAGGTCCCATACCTCTTCATATCCCAGGGCATGAAAGCTGATGAATCCAGGCAGAGTTCTCTGGGCCTTCACTGAAGAGAGATGCTCTAAGCAAACTATCCTACAGATATGTGAGGCTAGTTTTACAATCCTTAGCAGCCAGATTCCACTAAGGAGCTAGTGCACAGCAGCGCTAGTGTGTGGTAGTCATCAGATGGTGCCAGTATAGGGGAATGGTTACAGCATCACCATCTACCCATTGCTGCAGTAGGAGTTCAGGGCTAGCCTGCCTTTTGCACAAGCATCCTCAGTCTCTTGGAACTGAGGAACTTTTGTTTGTCTCCTGATTCATCTCTTATTTAGCCCATTCTGTAATTAGTGCACAAGAACATTTGCAGTTAGCAGCTACTGAAGGCAAGGCTGTCAATTCTGCCCAAATAATGACTTTTTTGTGCTGTGCTAAAAGTACTTGTGTATAAGTGGGCATAGACCTGTGGTTTTCATCTGCAATTTTTCTGGGTTTATGAACAGCCATATAGAAAATAACAAAGCAGCAGCTTTGAAAGTGCAACTGCAAAGCCTGCATGTGCTGCACCATTGTTTTTTGCTTTTCCCTGCAGCGGTGTTTTATGAACTTCATCTTGGCCATTTGGCAAGCTAACTTCTTGTAGCTTCTGGTAAGCATCCAAATCGATGCATCTATGGTCTCTAGAACAAGTCCTCTTCTTCTTTTTCACACATCCACATAAAACTAAATTGTCACTGTTTATCTTATGTCTACCCATCTCTTGTAGGACCAGTGGGGAGTGCAATGATCCCATCTGCATCAGGGAACTTAACACGTTTCTTTAGAAGGCTTCCATACCTTCCTGTCCCCTGCAGGCAGCCACGGTTGGCTTTGGAAGAGTGAGGGGTCTGTTGTCTTCAGAGACAACAGAGGTGGTCTTGGAGAGGTATGCTTTGGGAAATACTACAAGGCATGCTGTTTTCAAGTGTTCTTCAGCAAGGACTGTGATTAATACAGCTTGTCTGGTCCCTTTTAAAAATAACCCCCCCTGCAGCTTCTTGAAATGTAATGGCTTTTTAAAAGGGTAGAGTCATCTCATTAGGTTTTACATTAACAAGCCTAAACATTATTCTTGGCCCAAGTCTGAAAGCAGCCCTGTGTCAGGGCCCTACTTCAGGGAATACTTGGAGAGGCAGCTCCCAGCAGTTCACAGTTCTGCTGTGGTGCAGCTCCAGGTGAGATGATCTTTATGTGATCCATGTGCCCATTTTTTTCTCTTTTTTTCTGCTTTTCATGACTGACAGGTTAAATCAGGCTTGAGAAAACTTCTGTGGCATTAGTAAAGCTTGTTAACTCCTTCCACTTCTTGGAGCAGAAGGAGCTATGAGAATACTAGAGTTTATTGGTGATAATAGTACCAAGATGAATGTAGCTGGTAGCTGTTTCTGTCCCTTTTTTCCTTTACAGAATTATGCCAGTACTCCTCCTTTCTGTTTAAAAAATACAATCATGCTGTTTGGCTAAAGAAAATATGTTTGGAATGGTTCAGATTTATGACCAAAACTTACTTTCATTACGCATTTTTTCAAGATTGCTTTTGACCTGGAGAGCAAAGTGAGTCAGTTCTGAAAGTAAATAGTTTTAGTAGTTTTAAACTCCTTCGGTAACAAGTGATTTCTTGCCCAAAGTATGTGTGAGTGTATTTCCAGGCAGTAATAATAGTATACTCTGTTTATGTGGAGTATTTTAGAATGCTGCAAACCAGTTTAATAAGAGTTCAAATACTCCAGCTCCCGTTGCTATATTATTTTAAGCTTTACTTTTAACTACAATGTCCATGTTGTTTGTCTTTGCCAGTACTTTATATCTGACAATTGAGCTTCTTGACTAGCCCAGTACTTTACCAAATATGGCCACTCACAGCAAAGTAGGTCTGGTAATTTGATCTTAGATTGGCTAAATGCCTGCTAAATGCAGCCTGCAAACCTTACCAGGTAGACCTAATGCTTATTTCAAGGAGCTTTTAAAGAAAAATCACCCTGATAACTGTTCTGTGTAGTCACAGTGGGCTGGAGAGAGCTACCTGCTGGCTCACTAATGTGCTAGAAGTTTAGAAAAAAACATTCTCATGAACACGCCATAAACAAGAAATGTAAAGAGAGCCAGTGTAGCAGGGAACAGTGAGCTAATGGAAAAACATCTGTTCCCCTGAGTTATGTACAGCAGAAATATTTTTTTTTCCCCTTCACAAAACGCTTGTGATTTATTTATTTTATTCAGCGTGGGCCAGTTCCTGGGAAAAAAACTGTGTTAGAGGAGATGGGCTTTGTTCCACGAGAAAATGTCATAGGAGCCAGTGGGCTGGAATCTGCAATCCCAACTGGCCCATGGCCACAGCCACACGTGGGCAGGGGCAGCCCAGGGACAGCAAAGGGAGCAGCTCGCCAGCACAGCTTAGGTTTGCACTGCTTGCAATGTGTAATTAAATGCTCTCCCTCTCTAAGCTTTTAGCAATCCTAATCCGCCCTCAAATTATAAGCTCAGATATTAAAGGTGTTTATCAGGTTTGGGAGACATCTTTATTGATGTTGCGGAATAGCTGAGGTCAGATACTCTCCTGCAATACAGCAGGAGTTGTTGATGCAATTCCAATATTTTACTTTTTCTTGGGTTTTTGTTTTTAGTGTGTTTTTATTTTTAAAGTTCATTGAAATTTTAGAGCTCCCCCTTTATTGCTCAGATTCTTGAGCTCCATGATTTTTTGGCTCTTTACAGTGATACAG